GTCTGGTATTCCCATCCCTTTCAGAATTTTCCACAGAATTTTCCAGACTATTCACATAGTCAAAGGTCTTGGCATGGTCAATAAGGCAGAAATATATGTTTTTCTGAAACTCTCTTGCTTTTTTGATGATCCAGAGGATGTTGGCAATTTGATCTCTGGTTCCTCTGCCTTTTCTAAAACCAGCTTGAACATCTGGAAGTTCACGGTTCACGTATTGCTGAAGCCTGGCTTGGAGAATTTTGAGAATTACTTTACTAGCGTGTGAGATGAGTGCAATTGTGCAATAGTTTGAACATTCTTTGGCATTGCCTTTCTTTGGGATTGGAATGAAAACTGACCTTTTCCAGTCCTGTGGCCACTGCTGAGTTTTCCAAATTTGTTGGAGAGAGAAACTTCAAGTCACAGTTCTAGGAAGGAATTTCTAGTTGAAGGTCAACTGAAAGTCAGGGGAAAACTTCTCTGAAACATAATGTAAACAATAGGGGAAAAAAATTACCGTATGTTCAGCTTCAGAAACTGTCACATTATGTTGGGCTTCCCTGATAGTTCAGTTGGTAAAGAATCTGCCTGCAATCTAGGAGACCCTGGTTTGATTCCTGGGTCAGGAAGATCTCCTGGAGAAGGGATAGGCTACCCACTGCAGTATTCTTTGGCTTCCCCTGGGGCTCAGCTGGTAAAGAATCCACCTCCAATGTGGGAGACCTGGGTTTGATCCCTGGGTAGGGAAGATCCCCTGGAGAAGAGAAAGGCTACCCACTGCAGTATTCTGGCCTGGAGAATTCCATGGACTGTATAGTCCATGGGGTCATAGAGAGTCGGACATGACTGAGTGACTTTCACTTTCATGAGACGTAACTTATGCAGTGAAGATTCTGCATGCTGTAGCTAAGACCTAACACAGCCAAAATAAATAAATAGTTTTTTTTTTTTTAAGATATAACTTTAAGCTTCCTTGGTCCTTACATGTCGACGATGTAATCCAAGAGGGATAATAAATGAGACATCGCACATATCCTGTAAAACTCAGCTGAAATTCACTTTTCTGTGATGATTCCTGGTCATTGCTAAGAGAGTCATCATCCCCCAGTCTGGGGGTATTACCTATGGATCTATTAATATCTATATAGTTATAGATAATATATATAGATTATATATATATAGGTAGATGCAGATAATATATATAGATAATATCTATAGATACTGTTATCTATGCCACTCAGTGGTAACTAAGCATGAGCTGACTTGTGGATATTAGAGAGATCTCATCTTTAACAAATGCAGGTTCCTAGCCAGAAGCTTCACATCCTTTTAATCCTTTGGGGCTGACATTACAACAGATTGGATAGTAGATCAGTCTTAAAATGCAATTTTTTAAAAAAGGAGATATATTCCACAATAATAAGAATAAAAACTAAAAAACCCAGAGTAAACTTAACTCTAAATGAAAAAAAGTTTATTACTGAAGAACAGAAAAAAAAGACCAGAATAAATAGAGACATGCCATATTCCTCAATGGAGAGACTCAATTTTACTAAAATCAAGTTTCCCTAAATCACACAAGCACATTTAATATATCTTTGGAATTAATACATTGATTCTAAAATTTTCCCTAGAAAAATATTTATGCCAAAATGCCCAAAATGTTTTGAATAAGAATAATGAGGGGATTTGACCTTCCTGCTATCAAAACATAGTGTAGGGCTTCCCTGGTGGCTCAGTGGTAAAGAATCTGTCTGCCGATGCAGGAGACACGGATTCGATCTCTAGTCCGGGATAATCCTCCATGCTACAAGTAGCTAAACCCATGTGCCGCAACTATTGAGCCTGTGGTATAGACCCCAGGAGCCACAACTGCTGAACCCATGTGCCACAACTACTGAAGGCCGTATGCCCTGGAGCCCCGCGCTCTGCAACAAGAGAAGTCACTGCAGGGAGCAGCCTGCTGTCCACGCTGGAGGCTGGCCCCTGTTTGCCCCAGCTAGAGAAAAACCCGCACAACAGTGAAGACCCAGCACGGCCAGAAAGAAAGAAAATTATGCAACCACCCCCTCAAAATGCATACTATAAAGCTATAGTTGTTTCCTACATTTGGGGCTGGTACTGGAAGAGATTAAAATTAGTGGGATAGAATGGACTCTCATATCAGTACTGTACACACACACACAGGAGTTTCTAGGATAAAAGTAACATTTCAAATCTACAGGGAAAGAATATTCAGCAAAAGTCTTGCAGCGGTTGGCTGTTCATTTAGAAATAGAGTCACCCATCTCATATCACATACAAAATAATTTGCAGATATATTAAAATGCTAAATATAAAAGCAATGCCATAAAACTCTAAGAGAAAAATGTGTTCTAACTCCTAGAGCTAGCTTTCATTATCAGTTTGATGTATATCTTTCCAGAAATTTACTGTGTGTGCTTAAAGATATTTCTATTTACTGACCTTTTTTGTTTTTAGAAAAATGGGATTCTATTGTGTGTTTTTCTGCAACTTTCTATGGCTGTAGCATTAGATCCTGTTGCTGCACATTGAGATTTTATTAATTTTTTTAGATTGTAATAATTCTGCAGTGAACATTCTTGACTATAGTCATGAACTCTTATGTGGAGGGTAGCTTTCTAGAAGTAGAATTCCTGAACTAAAATAGACTTGCATATTAAATTTCAGAAGATACTGTTAAATCCAACATTTGATGAGCTGTTTTGAGCAAGGTGCCAGATTTTTGTTTGGAAAACTGAGAGTGATTTTGAAAGAATTTTAATCAAGGGATTTATCTGATTAAGCTTTTATTTTGGAGAGAACCCTCCTTATGTTTTCTGAACAATTATATATTGTCTATATGCTGTGCTGTGCTTAGTCATTGAGTTGTGTTCAACTCTTTGAGACCCCATGGACTGTAGCCCACCAGGATCCTCCGTCCATGGCCTGTAGTTACTGCATTAAAATTTGACATTGAGAAACTCAAGAAATATTTATGAATTCTTTTAAAATAATCTTAATAAAATCATTGATGTTAGAGCTGGACCATAAAGAAGGCTGAGCACTGAAGAATTGATACTTTTGAATTGTGGTGTTGGAGAAGACTCTTGAGAGTCCCTTGGGCTGTAAGGAGATCCAACCAGTCCATCTTAAAGGAAATCAATCCTGAATATTCATTGGAAGGACTGATGCCAAAGCTGAAACTGCAATATTTTGGCCACCTGATGCGAAGAACTGACTCATTGGAAAAGACCATGATGCTGGGAAAGATTGAAGNCCTATTGCTGTGTATTTTGTGTATTAAATGACCTGCCCCATTACAATGTATTGGTACATACATGGTGCTTCCACGGTAGCACTAGCAGTAAAGAACCTCCCTGCCAATGCAGGAGACATAAGAGATGCAGGTTCTATCCCTGGATCAGGAAGATCTCCTGGAGGAGGGCATGGCAACCCACTCTAGTATCCTTGCCTGGAAGATCCCATGGACAGTTTTCTGGTGAGCTACATACAGTCCATAGGGTCACAAAGAGTCCAACACAACTGAAGCGACTTAGCACACACAGTACATACTTGATGTATGCACTAACGATACATTCTGTATATAATTATCATTTACTTCATGCATGAGGACAAAGTATGACTGTTACATAATTGTTTACTTCATGCATGAGTACAAAGTATGACTGTTACATAATTATGTAGAACAAAATGTTATTTGTACAAATTGCATTAAGTCAAATCAGCTCTAGTCACCATACTTAATCACAACCAATGACTTTCCTTAATCCCAAGTTTTGAGAAATCCACAACTCATCCATAAACATGCCTCTCTTCTCGCTTTGGGCCTATAGCATGTGGTGGTTTCTAGAAGTGAACTGTATCTGACATCTAGTTCTTACTTTTAAAAATATTTCTGTTTACTGACATTTTTACAAAAAGGAAATTCTACTGTATGTTCTTTTCTGCAACTTGCTAAGGATGTAGCATAGTATATTTAATTAGACCCTGTTGCACATTGGGATTTTATGTGCATTTTTATGTAAATATATATTTATGTTTCAGAAATACAAATTTATATTTCATAAAATCTCCCAGTTTTTCCTTACTAAACAAGACATCTTGTTGGACTAATGACTAATCAGCTCATGTGCACACATAACTATGGTGTCATACGTTCGAATTTTTAAAAATCTGTGGGCAACTCTGGCCATCTGAGGTCTTAGCACAGTCAAACAACAGGTAGTTGAGCCTATAGAGAGTATTGTTTTCCAGTGTCAACAACCATAAGGTGTTAGTCAATGCTTAAAATACATAAGAAAATTGACCTCATAGTGTGTGTGTGTGTGTATATATATATATTTTTTTAATTTTAATATCCAATCTTAACAAGTGGCAGTTTCTTAAAGATTAATTGCAGTGTGGAATCTGAAGCCATTCAGTGAACTTTTTGTATTCCATTATATTAAAATTCCTTAGTATTCCTTGCACTTTAACTGAGTCTTTGCATAGATGATTTTGTAACATCAAACGTTGCTCTTTTGGAAAATATTGATTCACTGAGTTATAGACATCTTCTGAATGTTGATACACAATTCTTGATGGAATACCATATGATCACATTTATGAATGTCACCACTGATCTCTTCCAAAAACTCTTTAGGTATTGGGAAACTGTCAAGGTCATGGTGACATGTATCGATGCAACTTTTCCAAAATTCTGGTTTTCACTTGAAAGCTCAAATCTTATCATTGACAACAAATGCTGTCAGTTGTTTTCAGCTGCTTGAAGTGGCAGTCTCACTTGGTTCATTTTTGGAAAAATGTATGCCAGATACCCAAGTGTGAATAACTGTAGTTTGTTAGTCATTCTCTCAAGCAAAAAACAGAAAAAAAAATGTTTTGTAAAAAAAATGACTAGTTTGGTTTGCAGCTCAAGCACATGTTCTTTTCCTCGAGATAGTCTTTATACTTCCATATACAGCACAAGAGCTGAAGGTGTAATTCCCGCTTTATCACACAGGATATTAAAAAAATGTGTACCCAGTAGTCGAGATTAATATGATTAATAATTTTAGTGCTCATCAAGGACATTTGAAAGGGAAACAGACTCTCCCCTCCCACTCCCAGGAGTACTTGCTGGTGAAAAATATTGTGACTGTTAGTATGATGCTTCATCTTTGTTTTCCTGCCATGACTTGTGCTGAGGGTCCAGGCATTTTCCCCATCATTGCTTTGGCACCATTAGTACAAATGTCAACACAGTGAAAACGACAGATAAGGACTCAGTATTGTTATGGAACAGTTGGGACCTCACAAATCCCCTGAGAAGATCTTAGGTATGCCCAGAGTTTTGCCACCCATGCTGTGACTAATTGGGAAGGTGAGTTTTATACTGCAATAAGCTGCAGAATAAGAAGTTTCAGTCTCTGTCTCATAGGGTCCTAGCATCTCCAGGTTATGTTTTCAAGATCCTCTGATGGCCCCAACTAATGACTAATGTCACTTTTGGGGCTGAGTTTGACAATAGGCTATTGGTGGACTGTTCGGAACTGCTTATCAATGAGTTGTCTTCTTTTAAGTAATAGTTATTGGGCTTGAGTAAGGAGGGTTATTGTAGCTGTAGTTTTAAAAGGAACTGCCAGAGCTCCTACGATGTCCCTCCACATCTCTTGGAGACAGAATGCAGCACTTGGCAGACCCCTCAAATGGCTTGTACTTGTACTCTATACTGATTTTACAAATTAGGAAACCAAGAGCCAGTGACGTTCAGTAATTTGCCTGAAGCCATACATAAGTCATGTGGGCTTCCCAGGTGGTCCAGTGGTCAAGAATCCATCTACCAGTGCAGGAGATGCAAGAGACAAGGGTTCGTGTCTTTTCCAAGTTAGGTAATGGAAAATCCCTTTATTTGAGGGCGAGAGATGCAAAAAGATTCCTTCACTCTGTAAACACTTAATGAGTTATTTTATGCTGAACACTGTCAAAGGATGAGGCCACCACTCGATATTTGAAACAGAACTCGGCACTAAAGCACATTTATTCCTGGTCAGGCACAGTCTCTCAGAGTGGACTGTTGAGTTTTCTTTTTTTCCTTGGGGGAAGTATGGTTTTAGAGATTTGCAGACTTCCAGAGGCCATGGTTACTTGAGTGAGAGGGTCGTTGTTTGGCTGACACTCAGAAAGGAACTTATTGGCATGAGTCTTCCTGATTGGCTAACTTACAGGGTCAAGGAACTTTCACACTGATTGATTGGCTAACAAACAGTATTCACAGGGTGAGTTGTCACTGATTGATCACACAGGGTAAAGCTAGTTCTGATTGTTACTTGTTCCCAGGCCCCATCAGCCCTTTCCCAGGAATGTGGGAACTTTTAAATTACTAATTCCACACCAATTCTGTCCAACAGGAATGTGATAATAGTCACATAAGTAATCTTAAACTTTGTAATAACCACATTAAGAAAAGTTTTAAAAAGAGGTGAAATTAGTTTTAAAAATAAATCTTGTTTAACTTAGTATACCTAAAACATTATCATTTTAACAACTATTAATGAGACTATTTTACATTTTTCTTTTCCAAGAAGAAAAAGTCTTCTGAATCTGATGTGTGATTTTATACTCACAGTGCCTCTCAATTCAGACTAGCTGTGTGGAAATGTCTTGGTTGTGTCATATGGTTAGTTGCCTCATTTTTGGACAGTGCAGTCCTATACTTCCTTCTGGGGACACAAGGATGGAGGGAAGGCTATGCCCGCCTTCTCTCAGGTCTCAGAGCCTCAAAGAGGCATAGCCCTATGAACCCACACGCTGTAGTGCTCCATACAGGATCAGGACTGGGGTGAGACAAGCAAGGCACAAACAATATTTAAGGACTCGATTGCTTTCAATGTTGCTCAGGTGCAGGGTCCACCCTCCCCCCAGAGCGAGCACCTCCTAAACTGCTGCATCCCAAGCACCTCGTTAGTCTCACCCCTGTCTCAGCCCTGCTTGGCAGGAAAATGGAAGATTCTGGGGCTCCAACCCCAGAGTTGACAACCCAGATGATTTTTTTTAAATTATCTAAACATTTTATTATTATTTTTTCCGTTTATTTTTATTAGTTGGAGGCTAATTACTTTACACCCAGATGATCTTAAGTAGAACCTTGGAGTCTGGAGTTTCAGTAAGCAGCCCTAGGGATTCTCATGTAGGAGCTTAAGATCATCCTTTGAGAAACTCGGCTTGTGTCAACAGCCTCATGTGAGACTCCGTTTACATCCAGTGAAATATTTCCATCTTTTTCTTTGGTTTTGGGAATGGGTGTTGCTGAACACTCCAATCATCTATTTCTTGGGGCTGCAGCGGGATTCTGAAGTCCCTCTGATAGAAAGCTCCTGTACTCTGAGATTCTGGGCTTTGGGCCTGCGAGGACCATGGACTAAACAAGCTAGAATGCCAGTTTATTGTTACACAGACACAGTGACTGTTTCAGGGAGAAACCTATAAAAGGCATGTGATGGTGTTGAAAACAATGAGGATCGTGGAAGGAACTGAATTATTTGATGGGAGAGAGCAGACACTGGTTCCTTCATGTTGTTCTATTTATTTTAAAAAAGATTAAAAAAAAAATTTTGGCCACGTGACCCTGCTTACAGGATCCTAGTTCCTTGACCAGAGATTGAACCCCAGGCCCCGTGCAGTGGAAGCATGTAGTCTTAACCACTGGACCACTGGGAAAGTCCTTTAACGACTTCACAGTGTGTGATTCATTTCACACTGGAGGACAAAGGAGCCTGGCGTGTTACAGTCCCTGGTACTGCAAGGAGTCGAACACGACTTAGTGCCTGAACAACAGCAAAAAAGGCTCTTTTTATCTTGTCTTCGCCCTAGTCACATCCCTGACTTTAATGATGCTTAAATAGAAAAAGGCATCTATTATGCACCTTCAGATTATAGTACACACAGCCTGACATTCTCGGCTGTAGGCTTCATGTTACAGTTCTGTAGTTGCAGATGTCCCTACTTGGAAATGGGAAGCAGCCAAAAGTGAGGAGTGTCTAATTTTGCGTGTGCATGTGTGTGCTTCTGTTTCCAGATCTCCTCCTTGGTATGCTTCCTGCTGTCTCCTGCTGCTTCCTTTGTCACCGGACAGCTGGTGTATGTGGATGGGGGCCAGTCTCTGTACGCACAGTTATTTGAGGTACCAGGTGAGTGGTCAGGAAATGAGTCTGTCCCTCACTTTGTGGCTTCTCCTGTTCAGGTTTTCACAATTCCTCTAGGTCCTTAAGAGATAAGGGTTTTTTTTTTTCCTTGTAGAACATCAAAAAAAATGTACAAAATATTTATAGTCATCATATGATTTTTAAAGGCAATATTCCTAGTGCAGAAAATATCTAAATATCTTTATTATAGCACACAGGTTTACCTATTTAAAAAGTTGTTTGCGTGTGCATGGGCTAGTGGAATTTTAACCTTGAAAAAATATTCTCAGTGTGAGTATATATGTACAAGAAAGAGACAAGAACAGAGGCGGGAAGATGCCATACTTTTGATATTTAACTTCTCTTTGTTTATCCAGTTAGTGGCTTGTGTATATGAGGGGGAGAATCAGACCTGTTAGGTGGGGAGAGGTGATATGGTGCTATTTTACAGTATCTTCGGGATTGAGGGAAACCATAGGAATTTGCTGCATTCATTCATTTTTGATGTACAAAACAGTTTTATATATCTCAATCTAATGTAGATATTGCATGCAAATGTGTGTGTGTGTATCATATGACTAGACCATCAAGCTTTGGAGTTAAAAGGATCCTAAAAAATTAGTCAAGTATCGCAGTTTCATTATACATGACAAAACACATCCATGGAACCAAGGTATGTCCAAGCTAATCACTCCCAAAATGTAGAAAAGGATATGAAATTCAAATGTGTCCAAACTGTTGCCAAAGATAGTTGATTAAATGACTACTAGCGAATTAAAGGGCTTCGCTGGTCCTTTAAAGTGATAAAGATATCTGTGATCAGTGCAGGAGACACAGGAGACATGGGTTCAATCCCTGGTTCAGGAAGATCCCCTGGAGTAGAAAGTGGCAACCCACTCCAGTATTCTTGCCTTGAAGATCCCATGGACAGAGGAGCCTGGTGGGATATAGTCCACAGGGTTGCAAAGAGTCAAACACAACAGCACACACACACAATTAAAATGTAGTTGATGTAGCATATATGTACTTGAATTTCCTGTTCAGGACTTACTCTTTTCAACCTACTCTTTCATGTGCTAATAGTCCCATCGAGGATTCAGCCCTTCTTTGCACTAATCATTGTTTGGTTTGGATCTATAATATTACTCATTATTTCCCCCCCCCGGTTTAACTTTTTACTAACAGTACCATTGTAGTAATCTGTATGATATTCTGTGGTTTTACGGATCTCGTTTGGAAACATAGAAATGCCTGCATGGTTATACAGTATTGTTTTCTGATAGTATTTAAAGTAGCAAAGGTGGAGGGAGAATCTTTCCACTTCCCTCACCAGTGGAGTTGAGTCAGTGTTTGTTAAAGCGAGGTACATCCCTTTTCCTTTTCAGAGGGGGGAAATAAACCCTCTAGGTGACTGCTTCTCCAGGCCTCCAAATGAAATGGTTTTCTTTTGTAATTCTAATACTGTTTTGGTTTTTTTTATCAGTACAAAGAATATTTTTTAAGTTTTTGAAGAAAGCAGCCACATCCATCTTTTAAGAATATGTGAGATAAACAAGACTAACAACAACAAAAAAAAGAATATGTGCATGCTTGGTCGATCAATTGTGTCCAACTCTTTGCGACCCCATGGACTGTAGCCTGCCACGCTCTTCTGTCCATGGGATTTC